ATCACGTTGATGAGGTGCATCACGTTGATGAGGTGCATCACGTTGATGAGGTGCATCACGTTGATGAGGTGAATCACGTTAATGAGGTGAATCACGTTGATGAGGTGAATCACGTTGATGAGGTGAATCACGTTGATGAGGTGAATCACGTTGATGAGGTGCATCACGTTGATGAGGTGCATCACGTTGATGAGGTGAATCACGTTGATGAGGTGAATCACGTTGATGAGGTGAATCACGTTGATGAGGTGAATCACGTTAATGAGGTGAATCACTTTAATGAGGTGAATCACGTTAATGAGGTGAATCACTTTAATGAGGTGAATCACTTCAAAGAGGTGAATCACTTTAATGAGGTGAATCACGTTGATGAGGTGAATCACGTTAATGAGGTGAATCACGTTGATGAGGTGAATCACGTTGATGAGGTGAATCACGTTGAGGTGAATCACGTTGATGAGGTGAATCACGTTGATGAGGTGAATCACGTTGATGAGGTGAATCACGTTAATGAGGTGAATCACTTTAATGAGGTGAATCACGTTAATGAGGTGAATCACGTTAATGAGGTGAATCACGTTGATGAGGTGCATCACGTTGATGAGGTGAATCACGTTAATCAGGTGAATCACTTCAATGAGGTGAATCACTTTAATGAGGTGAATCACGTTAATGAGGTGAATCACGTTAATGAGGTGAATCATGTGAATCATGTTAATGAGGTGAATCATGTTAATGAGGTGAATCATGTTAATGATGTGAATAATGATAATGAGGTGAATGATGAGTGTCATAACTGTTAGTTTCTGGTACCTTTGGTTTTCATGCTCTGCTGTTTACCTCCAAAATGACTCCTATCCACCGACTTATTCACTGCTGACAACCTGACACACACACACACACATTGATTATAACATCTGATACAGACGTCAAACATGTTTTAATTAAGTGTTATGTGAACAGTTTAACTGGACTTAGACTCAGCTGGACTAAGACTCAGCTGGACTAAGACTCAGCTGGACTAAGACTCAGCTGGACTCAGACTCAGCTGGACTGGAGAACCACAGGGCTCCATTTTGGGTCCACTGCTGGGTCAAACTCTTTGTTAATGATCTCTATGGTGACAGTTTCACCTTCTGCTGAGGTGTTCATGAGCGTCGTGTCCGTGGACAATCAGCTGATCCAAAACCTCCAGAGGAGAGATGGAGGTTTGCTCCTCCTCCCTGTCCTCCCCCTCTCCTCCTCCTCGTCCCTTCTCCTGCTCCCTTGTTGCTCTCTCCAGCGCCTCCTACAGGACACAGCAGATTCATCAATAACAGGAAATGATTGACCAACAGCAGCCTGAGTCCACTTTAATCTACTGTGACTTATCAGAATGATACTTTTACATAATCAGCTAAATATTCAGCCGTGACTTTGATCTTTCAGAAAACACTAAGATACACATTACTCAATAAATTAATTAGCAAGATAAGAATATTTCAGCAGGAAGAGGAAACAAGATTTAATAATGTCACAGGTTTCATATCAACGTTTCCTGATTCTGATTCCGTTCCTATATATATATATATATATATATATATACATACATACATATATATATATATACACATACATATACATGTATTTATACCTGACTAACCATTAGTCTCACCTGGTGTATTTGGTTTACCTGACTCATCCTTCCGATGAAGAGCATGGCGGCTCGTGGCACAGCGAGCTCAAACAGGAGCTCGTACGGGGGGGCCGGGCTCTGGCTGGAAGGGGCGGAGCCTCCCTCCTCTGATGTCTGGGTGGTGAAGGAGGAGGAGGAGGGGTGAGGGGGGGTGAAGCAGAGTGAGAGGGAGCAGGGAGAAGAGGGGAGGGCTGAACCATGACGGGGGGTGGAGGTGAGGAGGAGTGGCTGAGAGGAGGAGGAGGAGGAAGGCTGCTGGGGTCGGACGTCTGCAGAGAAATGATGGACATAAAGATCAATAACTATTCTCCTCCTGTAAATAAAGGGACTAACCAGCTGATCAACTCACCTTCTCTGATGGTACTGATGACATCACACTGGCCTCTTCCCTGCAGCTCTGTGATTGGCTGAATGGACAACACCTCCAGCTGTGTGACCAGCTTCACCTGTGAGGAAGACAGAGAGAGAGACCCCGTCACAATAAAAGCCTTCCAGTGAGGACAGCGGAGCTTCATGTCTACCTGCTGACTGATCTCACCTGGTCGTTGTTGTGACCGCCATCTTGGTTTTCTTCAGTCAGCGGCATCGCTGGGATGGTGGCTGGTGAGGGACATTTCACACCTAGACACACAACAGACAGACGGGTCTCACATGTCTCACAGTGTCTCACCTGTCTCACAGTGTCTCACCTGTCTCACCTGTCTCTCAGTATCTCACCTGTCTCACAGTATCTCACCTGTCTCACAGTATCTCACCTGTCTCACCTGTCTCACAGTATCTCACCTGTCTCACAGTATCTCACCTGTCTCACATGTCTCACCTGTCTCACAGAATCTCACCTGTCTCTCAGTATCTCACAGTATCTCACCTGTCTCTCAGTATCTCACCTGTCTCTCAGTATCTCACAGTATCTCACCTGTCTCACCTGTCTCTCAGTATCTCACCTGTCTCACATGTCTCACCTGTCTCTCAGTATCTCACCTGTCTCACATGTCTCACCTGTCTCACAGTATCTCACCTGTCTCACAGTGTCTCACCTGTCTCGCAGTATCTCACCTGTCTCACCTGTCTCACAGTATCTCACCTGTCTCACCTGTCTCACAGTATCTCACCTGTCTCACAGTATCTCACCTGTCTCACAGTATCTCACCTGTCTCGCAGTATCTCACCTGTCTCTCAGTATCTCACCTGTCTCTCAGTATCTCACCTGTCTCACCTGTCTCACAGTATCTCATATGTCTCACCTGTCTCACAGCATCTCACCTGTCTCATAGTATCTCAGTGTCTCACAGTGTCTCATATTGTCTCATAGTATCTTACAGTGTCTCATAGTATCTCACCTGTCTCACAGTGTCTCACAGTGTCTCACCTGTCTCACCTGAGATGGAGGCGGTCCTGCTCAGTAGGGAGGAGGAGTCTGTTGCAGCAGGTTCAGGAGGGGGCGTCGACAAACCACATTGTGAGGACGGACTCCAAGTGACATCATCAGCCTGAACACAAATATGTAGTAAGCAAGGGAAGGAAGGAAGGAAGGTAGTGAATGAAAGAGGAGTTGTACCTGTACGTAGGAGCTGTTGAGAGTCAGACGTTCACACAGCAGCTGAGGACAAACTGAACTTCCTGTTAATCACAACGATCAATAATTAATATCTTTAAAACACATCAAATCCTTTAATAGAGTTGAACTCATGAATTATTCAGTAGTTAAATGCTGAAACTTTTAGTTTCATTTTGTGAATAAATTGATAACTTTCTTGAAGTTTTCCATCATCATCACATTACATTACATCACATTACATCACATTACAGTCATTTAGCAGACGCTTTCATCCAAACGAACTTACAATAAGTGTATTCAACATATTCAAGAGAACTACTAGTCACCAGAAGTCATAAGTGCATCTCCTTTAAACAAGCATATAAGAGCATAAACCAGAGCAGAAGTACAGAAACAAACTAGTATGAATACAATAAGTGCAACAAACTAATATGAATACAATAAGTGCAACAAACTAATACGAATACAATAAGTGCAACAAACTAGTACGAATACAATAAGTGCA